AAGTATTTAATAAGGAAAAATGTCATTTTGAAACACGGAGAAGTCTAATTCGTACTGTGGATATTGTTTGACCCGTGAAAGGTAATTGCACTACAAATGTATAGATTGCACTTCGAAGCCATTTTTCCTGCACGGGGGTCTACTATGAAAGCTCCTCTAAACCGATTCTGTAGTGCAGGGTGAGTGAAAGTAAACTGACGGCACTTAGTTGGATAGTGAAAGACGAGTTATCTCTAGTTTCTTCTGTCATTGTCATTTCCACTTCTTTCCCAACGGGGTTTGGAAGCCAAAACTTATGCGAATTAATAGTTTTAACGAGATTAGAGACTTTGTATGGGGCGGCTTTTTGTTAAAGTTCAGTTATGACTCATGGAATACTGTTCGAAGCCGGAGCATCGATAATTTAGTATTAATTATAAAATTCTCATTGTCTCTTCCATTTTGCAGTCGGCGTAAATTATAAAACAGGTGATTGTCAATAACAATATTCGATAGAACACACGATTCCAACCGGCATAAAATATCAGAACAAAAAAAAAAAAAAAAAAAATTCTGTGTCAATCAATAAGGAGACAAAGAAATAAATTGGACCCGCTTAAACTAGCTATACGGCAGTGGTTGTTGCTGCCTTTTTTTGCTGCTGCTGTTGAAGTGGTCATTGTTATCTTCTTCTTCTTCTTCTTCTTCTTCTTCTTCTTCTTCTTCTTCTTCTTCTTCTTCTTCATCTTCTCTTTTTTAGCTGTAAGAGCAACGCGTAGGCTCTCTTCTAACACTACATAAAAATCTCACAAGTTTCTCAAAAATTAAAGCTGAAAAGAATTAAAGAAACTCTTTGGCCTTTTTATTAATATCTTAGACTTGGAAATGATGTTTACTCTCTTCAGTCACTGTGTGTAAACATTTCACACTGAGTACAAGCAATGCCAAAGTTTAATGGAATACTGAATTAAGTCAGAAATCCCCCATTGCCTTTTAAAATCCTGATATTGACTAGACTGAGAACTGCCTTAAGTTTTGCACGACTAAAATTAAAAGAAAAAACACCCCTCTAAAACACTTCTTTTCAAAACTTTTTTTCAAAAAGACACTAGATCAATGTTTGTTCAATGGAAAGAAAACCACCTGCTGGGTGTTATGACATACTCTCAGGGGGGAAGGGGTACTCCCAAATGTGGGCTATGTGCCGCGGGATAGGTAGGGTTTTGGAGGTAACGATCCTTAAATAAGATATCACCGTTGCTCCCTGCTGGCACTGGAATTGGAATACAGGAAAGCCGTTTTATAGTCGACAGCATGACACCCAATCTTAATTCTCATCACTCGCTGCATCAGTGATTGTTTTGGTTTTTCTATTTTTTATGGCATGGTATAAAATAGTTACGCAACACTTTCTCGTGGTATACCCCACTTGGTCCCACTTGTTTACTTGTATTTTCTCGGTATACACGAGTCTTCATGGTACAGTATACCACTCAAAAACGTTGCACAACTGGTATGTATGCAATCTTGATATTCGTATGTTGCACTGCTTGATTCCAGCAAAGTGTCAAAGTAATTACTGATATTTATTTACGTGTTTAGGAACTCGGGCATTAATTAAACCACGCGCCAAGTTAAGTAAATTGGAAAACAGCGGATGCAAGGTGTTAAACTTCCTTTGCGGAATAATTCTTGTTTTTGCTGTTAGCTACAGCTTGACAGTAGAAGATGAGTCTAGCTTAGGAAGCTGTCTTTCAGGTAACTTTAGGACTTCTATTTAAACATGAAAAGCAACTTTTAGCGTTTAAGTCTTCATACCCAAACAAGTATCCATGGAAAGTGTGTGAATTTCCATATTTGAAAACTTCCTTGCCTTTTTATATACCAAACACAAAAGTGCAGAGTAGTTTCACCTTAATTCAATGTAGCAAAGGCAGACCATAAGCACAAACTGGGAGCGATGATCATCCTGCATAAAGGCTGCAACGGTAAAAATATAAGACTTAGAAATGCTAAAGAGCAGAAATACTAAAAAGTTCTTAATAAAAAATGCCTAATCTTACTGTCGCCGAGTGTATTGCTTGTTCTCTGTTCATTTTGGCCGCTGAGTTGAAGTGATTTTAAGCGGGTTATCACTTCCTAGGTTATCAGTGAGAGCTCGCTAAAGTCTCTTCAAATCAGCAGAACACGGCGACCATTCACTGTGGAAGTGAGATAAGGAGTAGATACTGAGGAAGTCACATTTTTGCCGTGACCGTATACTCCTTAAGATGCCTGCGGCAGGCCGCGTCCTAGTTTTCGGTCGAGTTTCTTTTGTTCTTCTTCTTCTTAGTTACATATGCAAATTAACCCGTATCCCGCGGGACTAAGTGGTCTTTGTGTTTATTTCGATTAGAAGTACAATATATGCGAAGTTGAAATCACGTCAGGCCAAAGGAACGTATTGTTTTAGCCCAAAATTTGTTTCAAAAGCTCTTATCGCCTCGAGAATTCACCAAGAACATTCTAGTTAGCTGCCCTAACCATTGCATTCCTACATCGCCTGGCCTCCCTAGTGGGAATTTAAGCTCGCAAATCTCACAAATATTTTTCATAGCAGGACCCACCGCGAACATAGCTTTCCTTAATCGCCGACAAACGTCCGCTAGTGGGAATTTAACCTCGCAGATCTCACAGATTTTTCATGGCAACCCACCGCAACGGATACATTTCATCGCGAGTTATTGCGAGGCCCACCAAATTTACCGAAGAAGAAGAGTAGCCATAAAATTGCTTTTCCTTAACCGTCGGAACACGTCCCTTGAGTGGTAATTTAGATCCCAAATATCACGGATACTTTTCGTTGCGATCCATCGCGAAGCCCAGCCTAGCAGATTTGCCGAAGGAGGGAACTAGCCATATATTTAATTTGCTTGAAAAGCCCCCATCGCCTCCAGCTTTCTCATTGCGGCTCGTTAAAAACACTGGAAAACAATCGAGCCAAAACTACCTGAAATCGCTTTGCTTCGACTTTACTAGTATCAGGTATTACGACCTAAACCTCTACAGCAACGTAGAAAAAAAAAAATCACAAACAAAGCCAGGGGATGTGTTTTTAGTGTATTTCTTTTCCGCGGTAAAAAATTTGAAGCTACATGAAAATTTCAAATTCGAAGCGAGTGGGACATTTTTTATGTCACTTTGACGCAACAGTAACAATGTTGACAATGTATTACTATCAAAGGTCATCAAATATATACACATATAAATGCGAGCCACATTCTGTCATCTTTTTGTTGAAGAAATACAAAATCGAAGGTAAGCATTTCAGTTAGGATTTATTTCTACGCCGGGAAAGACATTCAAAGTTGATGCATTAGTAAATCGACCAAAACCATCTCGCGTGAAAGCCTTCAGGCTTCTTGTTTAATTGTTATTTTGATAACACATTTTGATTCATTAGAAATTATTAAACTGACAATTGAATTATTCACCTTTATCTCCCAGGATAAGAATTAACTAGGTATTACAAATTCGTGACTGTGGCAAGTTCTTTTATAACTAAACTGATGCTTCGTAAATTATACCAAATTTGTGACAGCATTTAGCAAGCTTATCAGCTTATTAATTAACATTCAAAATGGTCCTCCTTAAAGCCTTTTATGGGTTGACTAAAAATTAGTATATTTGGGAATAAAAAGCAGGAGGAAGAGAAATGGTCAGTAATTAATGTGTCTCTTTTGTACAGGACAGATAAAAGAGAGGATTAGAAAGACCGAATAAATATAAAGTGTGTACTAGTGGTCGAAATTAAAGATACCTAATGACTCTCTTAAACTCAAATAACAATGAAGTAAATAATTCGAAAAACATTCCCTTTTAACATATTCTCTAAAATGTGCAAATTTAAAACATGTTCTATCGCTGCCAGTTTTGTTCTAATTTTTAACGTTCCAATTTCTGAATAATTTTTTCTCACGTCACGCGAAACGATCAATTAGTGGGAAAGCAATGACCAAATTTCTGAACGTGTCAATTGATATTTGTCTCTTTTTTGTCCCTTAAATTCAGTTTGTGCCTAAAAAGGCTTTTTACGAAGGCTTTTTCATTTACCTCGTAAAATTACATCAGCCCTCGAANGGGGGGGGGGGGGGGGAGGGAGGGGGGAGGGTGAATAGTTTGTTAGTCAAAACGAAATAAATTTACATTGATTAGATAGCCCTGAGCTTGCTCTACAAGATGATACCATATTTGTTAGTTATGACGACAAATGACGTCTTGGACCCTCCATCTTGGATTTTACTACTTTTTAAGTTTAAAAAGTCAAGAAATAACGGAAATTAGCACTAAATCAAGCCAGAATGCTCAAAATATTGTACAAAATCATGAATTTCTGCGGCAATTTGATCAAGAAAACTAGAAAGATTAACAGAATTATCTCAAAAAGTTGATTTTTGGTCAGACCTACAGAAGTCTCAGGGTTTCCATGGCAACGTCAAATATGATGGACACGCAATTGACATATCAAATTTCCCGCAGAGAATGAAGGAACAGCTACTGAAACTTTCATCCCCTTAAAGTAAATTGTCTTTTCAAAACTTTGAAAAACCTTTTGGGGAGTTACATCTTGGGAGCCTCCCCCTCCCCCCCCCCCACCCCCATCCCGGGGGTTTCAAATGTCTAACAGGAAGATATGGTCTGATATGCGCCCGGTCTTCATATTTTCTCAGTTTAACTGGCAAAATACACGGCAGCGCTTCAAGCTTTGTTAGGAATGCTCTCATTTTAACTTAAATATTAATAGAGACGGTGTTCTTCAATTTTGATATCCCGCACACTTATTTTACCCATATTGTACCTTAGCGGATGACGAGTTTAAAACAGGTCCTAAATAATACGGCTTTAGAAAAAAAAATTAAGCTCGAAAAACGCTTTTTCATAGCTGATAATTTGCATTTTTGCCTTCTTCAGATTCTTCTCATCCAATAAACAACCCAACAACCTATTACACGTCATCAAGTTAGAGTCCTCCTCTGTCGCTTTGAAGTACTTCCACTCTTAAATACGTAAAAGTATAGGCCTAGGGATGGATGGTAAGAACATTCTCTTTTGCAGAATGGCTATAATAGGATTGTGGTTTTTCACTGTCGTTCAAGCAGTATCTGAGGACGGAGATGTAATTTTAGGGGGACTTTTCAATGTTCATCAATTTCCTGCGGAGAATTCAACAGGGCAGTGTGGTGAGCTTGATACCAAAGGATTAGGCCGGGTAATGGCCATGATCTTCGCCATTGAGACCATCAACCAAAATTCAAAACTACTTCCAAATATAACTCTTGGCTACGATATACGAGACTACTGCGAAAACACCACAAAGGCAATGGAAATGACCTTTGGGCTAATGAAGGATAAAACTTGCTCCAACGAAACATGCTCGAAAATGGAAATGAAAAGTCCTATAGTGGCGTTGATCGGCTCATTCGAGTCTCGCACAGCTCTAGCTATCAATGGATTTCTTCAAATGCTCGAGGTCCCAGCCATAAGCGGAACAACAACAAGTCCTGAACTGAGCTCTAATACTTATAAATCATTTGTATCGAACAGCGCCTAAGGATGCCTTCCTGGCAAAAGCCGTCGCCGACATCATCGAACACTTCCAGTGGACATATGTGGCGGCTGTAGGACTCGATGACTCATATGGGCGAAATGGAGTGTGGTCCGTAATCAAAGAAGCTGCTACTAGGAATAACTCTTTCTGTGTTGCTATGACAGAATTCATACCTCTTGAAGCCCAATTAACAAGCATTCGAAATATTGTTTCAAGCCTACGGCGCCAGGAAAACATTAGGGTCATCATATTGTGGACATACGGTAGTCATCAAAGGAACTTTTTCAGTGAGGTAAAAGGACAAAACCTGACCGGACGAGTCTGGATTCTTAGCGATGTATCAGTCACTTCATAGACTTTTGCCTATTCAGACACTTTCACCATAAACGGATCTATAGGTTTTACACTACACCGTTTTTCTGACGCAGGATTCATGGAGTATATAAGAGAGTTCCTAACTAATGAAACAAATGGACGAAATGTTCCAGAATGGTGGAGCGAAGCTATAGCTCTTACGACGTCCTGCTCAACTCATAATCAGACTAATGCCCCGAACCAAATTGAAGTATGTATACATGGTGTGGTTCAAGACATATTGGGGGCCTATATTCCATATGTCATTGATGCTGTATATTCCGTTGCACATGCCATACAAATAGCCTTATCTCAAGCTAGTACCAGTATGACTGATGACTATTGCCAGCGCAAACTTAGCATTGGTCTTCTTGATATGACGCAGCTCCTTTCCAGAATTAACTTTGTTGGACTATCTGGAAATGTAACGTTTGACGCAGTTGGCGACAGGGGATCTGTGGTTTACAACATTGTCAAGTTCCAACAAGTGCACGACACTGACAGTAAGCTTCAACTAAAACAAACCATCGTCGGAAAATGGGAAGCGAATGGGCAAAGCAGCAAAAGGGTGCATCTTTATGACAAAATGCACTGGTACTCCGCCAACGATAGCGCTCCGAAATCTGAATGTCTGGACCAATGCCCGGAAGGAACTAGAAAATCCATTACTTCGCCTTGCTGTTGGCAGTGTCTTCCATGTCCTCGTGGCACCATTAACACCATTTCTGGTTCCGAAAACTGCATTGAATGTCCCCGGGGAAAGCTTTCCAATGGGGCTAGAACAAAGTGTGTAGACTTGCCTTTGATCAATAGGAGGTATTCTAGTTTAGGAGGAATAGTCGTTCTTGCATTTTTAGCTTTGGGTATCGTTGGCACCTTTTTTTCATTTGCTGTTTACTGTCGCTTTTGGAACAGTCCAATTGTCAAGGCATCTAACATAAAACTAAGCCTTGCTCTTCTTGCAATCACTTGGATGATGTTGTCTCTCACGTTAATGAATCTCCTTAAGCCTACAGACGCAATTTGCAAGATTATTTACCCATGGCGATATATAACTTACAACCTCTGTCTTTCGATCCTGCTGGTAAAAGTCTTGCGAATTTCCAGCGCTTTCCAAATTCCAATGACGTTATGCTGCACCATACGCTCGTTTACCGATAGAATGCAAGTTGTGGTAATAATAACTCTCTAAGTCATTCTACTTCTTGTTTTACTACCTTGGTTGCTTCTGGATCCGCCTGTCATGATCAGTGCCAAGCATATCCTGACAGACCATTACATTTTTATTGAATGCAAAGCGTACAACTACTTGACTGGAAAAGTCCTGTTTTTGTAAACGTTCTCTTGTGTTTTACTTCAAATGTTTCTGTGTGCATTTAGTTCCTTTAAGATAAGAAACATTCCAGAAAACTTAGGTGAAGCGAAGCGAATTGCGTTTTCGATGTATATATTTATGTTTTCATTGCTAGCGTATCATCCGGTAGAGTTTTCGATGGATGGATGGTATGTGACAGTTGTGGACTGCGTGACAACTCTATTAACTTCCTATGGTTTTCTCTGTTGTTTATTCTTGCCAAAAATATATATTATCATCGTTAGACCGGAGTTAAATACTTTAGATGCATTAAGTCAACAGGTGACTAATTATTCCTTTGGTAGAAGCTCTGTCAGCGTGAATCCTGCATTAGACAGTTCAACAGGCTGAGGAAAAAAAGAGGTTGAACACTTTTTTATCCAACAGAAAAGAAGCTTGTTTGAAATTGGAAAGAATTTCATGGAGTGTTTTTAATGTACATTATATTCAGTAACACTCGAAATTGACTTAATGCATTTAAAGTATTTAAATCCGGTCTAATAATCGTTCCATTTGTTGCCCCCGTTCTGAGTGAAGTCGATTTAGTTTTTTAGCTGTATTTATGGTATAAGGCTAAACACCCTGAGTTGTGTTGAGGTTACAAAATGTAGTTAAGTTCAAGCCAGTTGAGCTGTTTATGAATGCGTTGTCATTTGACAACGCCTAGAGCTGCGTTTGGAATTTCACGAAGTGTCTGTGTATTGTTCACTATTGTGGTGCCTCTAAACTCAGTTAAATACAGTTCAACCCCTATTAAACGGCCACCCTCGGGGAAATGGATAGTGGCCGCGTAAAAGGGGTTGGCCGCTTAATAGAGGTGAGAACAATAGAAAAAACCTCATCGGGATTACTGGCCGCCTAATAGGGGTGGCCGTTTAATAGGTGGCCGCTTAATAGGGGTTTGACCGTAACGACAACAACAACTTGAACGCTCGCAAATGAAACGTAGTGTAACTGTTTAGCACCCCTTTTAAGTGTTTAAGTGGAATATCCTGACTATTTGCCCGTAGGTATATATATATAAAAAAAATATAGACAGAAAACGAAAGAAAGAATGAGTTAGGAGGAAAAGAGAAAAAGAAAAGACAACAGAAGAAAAACTACAACAGTGGTACGTACTCAAGTGCTTGAAGACTTCATCGCCATATCAAACTCAGTGTTAACAAAAGGTTATATCAAATTCCGGTGGTCACGCCCCCACTAATGTCTGACTCAAGGTCATGCAAAAACACGCACAACTTTGAACATTTTGCTTTCTAACTCAAAAACGTGTGGATGGGGACAATTTGTACCTTTGAAAATTAATTTTAAAAAAAGAATATTCAAGCTGCATCAGAAGATGGCTTCAAATGTCATAGCGATAAATTTCAATGGGGCAAAATTGAATTTTTGAAATTGAATTACGCAATGTTTATAGGAGATTTCGCGCTCCTGTCACGGTTGGCGCAAAAGAATGAGCCCGCGCACTTTTGCACAT